CAAGATTTGCGGGGCATTTAGGTACCGGAGATCGGTTGGGCAGGACACTAGACCTAGATTGGACTAAGTTTGCGGTTTTCGAGCTCGAGACACTCCTCCGTTACTTGCCGGAAGGCCATAGGTCTGGCACACTATTTATTACACTGACGGCAGAGGGAGAATTCCTGGATTGCATGCATGGACACTGTCAGAAATGGTTACTATACCAAGAGAGAGATTGCATGCCCCCCTAGCCCAGGTTTGCCTTCGCATGGTTTTGGTAAGCGACGGATCAAACGGTCTAGACACGAAGCACGCAAGACTACAACGAATGGGGGTTGCCAGAAGAGGATGTTCCGGTCCCGTGACTGGAAACGACGAATACAGTACCTTGCCAAGCTGATTCAGTACAAGCCTTATAAAGTCGATGCCTACATCAAAGCGCTAGCACCAAAAAACATGCTGCGCATGATTAGGTATGTAGCTAGGGCAGGTGGGTATCACAGAGGATGTGCATTTAGCGTTCCAGGCACTACGCAAAGCATACCTCGCGACTTTCCCCCCTCCGCTGGTTAAGCAACGTAGGGTACCTCAGTGATTGTTTTTACTAGTTCTCTTGCAGACTCCTTGGGGCTCCGTGGGATGTTCATGCGGGTAAATATTCTAGCGTACATTCCCCCCCAACACCGTGCGTGCATTCCGTGACGCTGTCTACAACGTTATCCCTTGTTTTTAAGTATCGTGACACCCTAGTCTAGATAGTATGATGTTCAATACCACCAACGTAGCGAGAGATGTAAATCATGGTAAATATAGATGTATTTGCAAAGACCCCCAATGGAGTAAGTACACGATTGTTGCCAAGGATGGTTCCAAATGTTTGATTACTACAGATGCCGGATGTCTTCAGGATGACAACGCTGCAGCTGTGCTAAACTTACAAGCTGGTTTTAGAACAGAATATAGACTATATGCTGAAGCCTTGAATGACCTGTCTTTCTTTGAATCGCTCATAGACGGCATAGAATCGTACATTGGCGATTTATGTCATGAACTCAAAGTGCCACGCGATGATATTGAGGACTGGGAGGATGCTTTGTACGACGCGATAGAACAAAAAGTGACTGACGCGGACAAGGGGGAGGTTGCTAAGCCTCTTACAGGCCACATAGATTTCGCTGCAGCTAAAACATCTTTTCAACAATTGCACAAGAAGGTGGTGTTTACGAGAGTCGACAAAGCGGCCAACTGCATCTGTATCACATGCAAGGCGTGCAATATTAGGTTAGCCAAAACAGAACTTGAAGGACCGGGGTATAAGACAGTACACGAAGAGTTGGAGCTGGTGAAACAGACGACCATTGACCGACAACATGAGGATGGTGACACTCAGTATGAAAACACTGAGAAGTTACCCACACGATACCTCACTGCTAAACTACATAATAAGCCGTTGGTAGCGACACGTGGAATAACAGCTTGTTGTGGTACGATAACAGAAGGGGTGGCTAGGGTAGTCAACGCAGTCCTGGTTGGTATCCGGACTTGTTTACACACGATCTGGCGTGAAGAATGCGCAAAAGTTGGTATTGCTGCCAAGGATTGTTGGATTACCTCTAACGGGGAAAGTCTTCTAGAAGTAGCACAGGATATCGAT